TCCATTTTTAGTTGCGACGAGTTGAATTGCAAAATGAGGTTCACGTTTCCACCTTGCAGCGAATCATGCAGAAATTGGGTTCAGCATCATTTGGAATCAGGTAACGAAGTTCCTGCTGACGTTGAAGGCGAGCAAACGTTCATGTCTTGGAAGGCTTCATCCAAGAACATGCCGAATTTCATTCTCAACGTTCCAACATGCTTTACTGCAAAATCTTGTCACTTGAAAACATTGGGGAGTGAATTTCTGGCACGAAGATTCGTGGGACGGTAAAGATTGAAAGAAATCAGAATCGATGGAATTAAGGAAATCAGAATCAATGTCACATTAGCTTTGAGTTTAGTTTCAACCTTTCACAGCTGGTAGCGAATTCGCTGGGGAAGGATATTGCGTCCACAAGACTGCTGCGTGCGAGCTTTTGGCTTTTCAGGCTGGCCGGCGACTGACTGGGCATTGAACAGTCCAGAAGTTTTGAACTCAACCTTGACCAACAACCTTGCCGCATTCAGAATCAGATAAAGTCAGTGTCAGGCGCTACTTCAAAAAGACTCCCCAGGAAAACGTGACCACAGACAGTAGTAGACTGTTGAAGGGCTAAGTAGACAGTTGCAGACAGAAGTAAACAGTGATCAGGAATCAGGAGGGGACCTTTTGTATTCTGCCACGCTGCCTTGTGGAGACCTGGTTGGAAGATGATGATGATCCTGTCCCATTTCCCATGTGTCAGAGCCAAGGCTGGGTTTTGAACTTGAAGGGCTTCATTGTGGGTGTGGGCAAAGTTTTTCATCACGTGTGAAACGGCAAAGACTGTCATTGGAGTGCACTTCATTGCAACCATTCAGAGTCATTGTCAACTGGCATTGGAGTCACTGTCACGGTGCATTTGTTTTCAATGCTGCTAAGTTTGAGAATTCATGCCTTGATGCTGCCAGATCATTGTCACCGACCTTTGTCATTGACACAAGTCATCAACTCAGCATTTGAGCTGCTTCTCGACTGCTGCTGTGGAACCTTTTGATTCTTTCAAGTATTTGTTTGAATACCATTTTCGGTTGTTTCAGGCTGCAATTGGGACGCGGCGGCTGCGCGTCACAGGTTGGAATGTTGGTGTCGCAGGTTACAGTTTCGCAGGTGTCAAAGCCCGCATAAGCCAAGATTATATAGTCATGAGGTTCGTGCGCAATGCGCTGTGATGTCCGTTCACCCCAAAGCTAGTGAAAAAACGAGTGTGACAAAGTCAGGGCAACATGTCCATGGAGCTCCGCCTCGCTGTGTGGCCTTTCTGCTGCAGGGTTTGGAGCCACGCAGTGGGCTGAAGCGACTGCTGCGCCAGGACCGAATGCATGGGCGGATTGGATGCTGCAGCCGAAACAGTCTTTCAGCTATCATGTGACATGGTTTCAAACTCTTATGTGACATGATTTCAAACTCTTTGTTTCAACCTGTGACAGCAACACATGTGAGAAGAAACCGCTGAAACCCCTATGTGCCATGATCTGAAGAAAGCGTGACAGCTCGAGAACTAGGTTTGAGCGCAATCCCTAAGTACAGCTCTTACCTCCGTCCTGCCACTTTCGACTTGAGCGATGCCAGCTTTCGATGGCGGATGGCCCAACAAAGATGCAGCAATTCGATTCTTACAATCTGTTGCCGGGGAGAGAGCGTGCCCATCGTGCTACTACCCGTACTTGAAGGGTTACCTGACCTCTCCTGAGAGACACAGTGTAAAGGCTACTTCAAAAGATTGCTGGTGTGATCTGTGTGATCGTGAAGGCAAAAAGGAGGTGATGATGGTCACTGAGCAGTAGCAGCAGCAGCTCTGTAATGATAGCCACTGCCAATTGACAAGTGGGTGAGGCGTGTTTCATTTCTCACCATTTTTGCTTTCCTTGGTGAGCAGTCATCATTCGTGACATTTCAATATTCTTACCATTGTGACTGTCACTGCTGCTATTAATCATGCAAAGACAGGCTTGCACAGGAACGCAGGTGAGCAACTCCCACCCTGTTTTGCTTTGGTCGACCTTCCAACGGTCGGAGGATTTAAGTTTGGGCCCAACAGAGGGTGAAACATGCTGTGCCCGCGCAGAAAAATAGGCAGGAAATCCAAAACAGCGGCTACGACCCATCGTTGTTGGTTGATTTTTTCCAGAAGTGTCACCGCGGTTACGCGCATGTTGCTGCAGGACGACCGCACCGCATGATTTTGGGCTGTCGCAATCTCAGCCACATGTTTTGACTTAAATTTCTGGCAGACTTCAAGGCCCACCCACTAATGCCGCATGACTCACTGAGCTTCATGATGCCAGGTTTGAATTATCAGATTGTCGAATTGAATTTTCAGAAATATTTGATATGTCAGTATGTTCATCTTGAACCTCCTTGTCTCAGTGACATTTGTGACTGCGTGTCAACCGATTTTTGGATCAATTGTAAGGGCTCCGCCCCCTGCCGCCGACCCCGGGGATAAGGCACGAGATCGCCGACGGCGGCAGAGTTATAGGAATGGAAGTAGCAGCTAGTAGCATACAACAGTGCAGATGCACACGACATCGGTCACGGTGCCAAATTAAGAGGAATGGAGGTAGCAGCTAGTAGCGTACAACAGTGCAGACGCACACGACAGCAATCACGGTGGCAGATTTATAGGAATGGAGTTAGCAGCTATTAGCATACAACAGTGCAGACGCACGCACACAACAGCGCAGACGCACACGACATCGGCCACGGTGGCAAATTTATAGGAATGGAAGTAGCAGCAATGAGCATACAACAGTGCA